TGTTGGGGGAACTTTTCAGTCCACATTTGCCTGCCGCGTGCACTTGTCCCTGCCACACGTAAGTCCTTCTCTCATTGCCGAGACAGACTCTCGATAGACGAAATGTAGTCGAACGGCTTCGGGGATCTTGTCCTCAGGTGTCCGCTCGTCATGCCAAAAGAAACCCGGGCAGCCAGGAGCGGTGCACTAGAAGGTGAGCATTAGTATCTCATAAGGATGTCGCAACATGCATGGCCATACCTTTTGAAAATAGCAGCCCCAGTTCGTTATGACGGTTGGGTGTTCACAAAGTGTGAGTTTCCCCAGAGTTGGTCGCCCACAATCTTTTTCAGGGCACTGAGCCCGTGGTGTTGGTCGGAGGTTGATATTCGGCCGTGGCAAGTTCTCAGCCATCAAGCAGGATGGGCCTATCGAATGGGTAAGTGAGTCAAAATTGAAGGAAAGCATGTACATACCGAGCAGCAAGTAGTCGTTGAAAAATTCGAGGTTCCCATCCTTTATGAGGTGGGTTGTATTGAAAATTTACAGGTTATGGTTTGAGCCACTCGGGAGTCGGCATGGCATGCTTGAGGATCGAGAGTGGGTAGAAGGAAGAAAAATAAACCCCAGGTCAGTGGACAGTGCTGTACTGACCCATCTGGCTAGCCCATGGTCCTACCCTCCGAGTCCTAGTACTCACTGGCGTTGCTCACAGCCAGATGAGTAACGGAAAACGTTCGGGTGCCTCAGGCGCATAGAGAAAGAAGGTGTTGTCGATCGAGCTCAGCGTCATCGATCGAGTTCTTCTCCATGGTGTCGACGTGGTGTAGTGTGGGTTGTTTGGCATTGGAGTGTTCGGGGTAAGCCGAGCGTGAGCGTGATTCTCAGATTCTCAGAGCCCCAGCGGGTTCAACGTTCTGACTATCATCAACAAATATGTGCACGTGATGCATCACATCACATGATGTATCCAAGCACATGCTCATGGGTCATGTGACTCATCAAATGCATCATTCCTGGGACTAGTCCTGTCCAAAAATCCTGAGGACTGAAGACAGTCCTCAGGAATGGACCCCCACAGGACTCAAAAAATTGGCTGGCACATCAGCCAATATAGAGTCCTGGTAATCCTCAGGAATCCTCAGGAATCCTGCAGGAATCAGTGGGGGACAATAAAGACCTCAGTTGATTAGACGACATATTAATTTGAAAGGCGAACGCTTACCATCCGCATTCGCTTGATTACATCTTTCTTGAGCTGGGCTTGTTCATCCGTTAGAATTTCGAATCCATCGGGGCCGACAGGGATGAGAAGCGGCTTGTAGAGATATGGTTGCGAGACTGGGATCGACCAATGGAATTTCGCGAACCAAAGGTTGACGATGTTATCGAGGAGTTTGTCGGCCTTGTCGGAAGAGACGAGGAGGGCAGCCTTGTAGGACTCCAAATGAGATTCCAGGAAAGTCTTGCGCTCGCCCTTCGCCCATCCCTTCACGAGTTTGGCAGTGAGATTGTCAGCGACCCTGGCAATTCCGAAAAGATAAGTCTCCCAAACAAAACACGAGCCATCACAACTTACGCAAACACAAGCTCGACTTCATTTTCGACGTTCTCGAGCTCATTCTTGTTGACGACCGCCATTGTGAGACTGAAGGTAGATCTTTGCGGAAAGAATGGGTAAGTTGCAATTTTTTGCAGACTATCTACATTTTTTGACTGTGAGAGGCAGACTCGACGACCTTCAACGTGTCGCGGAAGTAGCTGTCCTGACCGTCAACCTGTCGCGGAAGTAACTGTCCTGTTGCGGAAGTGACTATCGGGTACGTATAATTTAGTCAATACATCGTATGCTCACCACATTTTTGCCGCATGTGGGAATCAGCCAAATCTTCTTCCCTCACTTAAAGAACCAGTCGCTTGCAACCCCCGCCCCCCAACCCTTTTGCTACCCTCAATCCACAATCCACTCCGTTCAACAGATCCGACATGACGAAACTCACTGACAATGGAGCGCCCGAGAGCACCCCATTGCCAGCCAGCCTTGGTACGTAGCAAAGTTCGAGATAGCTTATATCTGACGCTCTTCACAGCCATCGACGAACTATTTGCCCGACTTGATATTGGTCCCCAAACCGCCCGCACCATTCTTCGCGCCCTCCTCACCACTGCGTATAGCGACACCCCTGCCCCTGTCTCGGATTTTCGTGGGGATGCATTGGAAGTCCTCGGTTTCGGGGCTAGCGATCCAAACTACGCGTCTGATGATGAAGAAATCGTGGTCGTTGATCCCACCACCTCCCCCGCCGCTTCTCCCACTTCTTCCGCTACTCTTCGCCCTGCTTCACCGGCGGACTTGGTTAACAGCATCCGTTCTATCGCCACGGATTCTGCTCCTGCAGTCGCACCTGTAGTCGTTGCTCCTGTTGCATCCGCAGTCGCCCTGGCGTCTGCGGATGTCCTTGCATCCGTAGATTTATCTGTACCCGCAGCTACTCATGCAGCCGCAAGACCCGCTGCCCCAGTTCCTTCCTCGGCTATTACTGCCACTGCAAACAATGCTGCGCCCGTCGCTTCTGCCACTGACACCGCATCTGCAGCTACCCCAAATGCTACAAACTCCCCTCCCCTAGGAACACTCACCGCTTCGACCGCCTTGCTTTATTTGCCCAACTACGTTTTGCCCTACAACGCGCCCAAGAACGCCATTCTTCCACCACCTTCTTTGGTCACCCCCGTCTACGGTTATCATGTCCCAGGCCCCAACGAGTCAGGGCCTTTCTACATGGCTAGTCGTGGCCGAAACATCGGAATATTCAGCGGCTGGTAAGTTATTGTGTATCACTCGATGACAACTCAATTACTCACTCTTTATTTGAAGGGAGATCCTTTCCCCTTTCGTAACAGGCGTCTCGCACTCAGCCTTTTCCAAGGTTTCGGGCATCCAGGAGGGACATGCCAGGATGGCTGTGGCAATCAATGCTGGCTTTGCAACTTATTTGACTTAGTGCGATCGCTAGTATACTTTTTCTTGGACACTGTATCGTTGCATAGGGCCTGCAGATAGATAGCCCATTTCGAATGTCACCCCTCGTATAACAATGCCAATCACATTTAGCCGTCTTTCTTTTCCATGACCTGTACATGTGCGAACCTGAATACTTGAAGGGATTTGATACGAGCTCGAGCTTTTCCCAATTGGTCGATATCTCAATTTTCGAAAACAAATGATAAAAATATGCTGGAGCCTTCAATTTTGGTTCAACGGCTTATATTTTCACAATGAAACATCTAGACTATGAAATTTATCAGATGAGATAAAAGGATTTGGGGCTTTACCGGAGGTAGAGTAAAAGTCAGAAGAAAGCATGCCCAGCCGTAGAGTGGAAGCATACTTCAGATGCACTTTAACATCTGAGGCTCGCCGAAACCCATGGTGTGCGGTATCAAACCAGGCAAATTTTTGGGAGTTAAGAATGTTAAAACTGGGTTTTCATGCAGAATCACTCCCTGCCTTCAGGATGGTATGGATATATGCAGTTCAGGAGCAATGAACAAAAAGTTGTAAGAAATGGCTTATATACTTCGCCGCAATTCAACATGTGCGATGCCAACTGAGGCTGTAGTTTAAAACTTTACACTTCTGGAATTGGTCTTTATACAGAATCATTTCCTCGGTTCACAATGATACCGCTACTTATATTCTCAAGGAGAATGAACAAAAACTCATAAGAATGTGCATGCTCATCCGGTTTTGGACAAGCTTCTTTTCCGTGATCTTGTTCAGCAGCTTCCAACTTCAAAGCCATGGCGAGACTGAAGCTCTACAATACATCTGAGGAAAAATTGGCTGCACGACGAGTTACATCCAAAAAGTATTATGATAAGTCAGTCATATTTATGATTGTCCTCTGCGTACGCAATCCTCACTTCCCTGTCATTTGCTCAGAAACCGTGTCCAGATTTGTCGCCGATCGCGTCGTGCATATAAAAAGAAGTTGAAGGCTGTTAGAAAAAATCCCCCCTGTAGGGTTGAGCCAGCCATCGGCACTGATCCTGCAGAGTCAGATGTCAACTCCGAGGCCGAAGTGGGGTAAAGCTGTAATCTACGTTACCGTTTCGAGCGATACTTATTCTGAGTTGAACAGACTTCATGCACTCGATAAATTGGCCAGGGCCAGGGAGGATTTTGAGCTACTTACCCGCGGCGACAAGTACACGTACATTGACTCGCTTGTCAGCGATTACATCAAAGCGCCCAATTTGGCCCAGAATGCTTGCGATTCCACACTTGAAATGTGGGAAGGCCTGATGAAAGGAGTCCAAGATATAATCGGGGATATATTGCAGGAGTATGGGTGTGCAACGGAGTATCACGAGGCCGATACCTTTGTTGTGAAAGAATACCGCAAGGTGTACCACTTACTAGGAGACATTGCGGAGTTCCTCCTCACAGCCTCTCCTGGTGACTTGGCTGACTGGCACAGAAGTGGCGCATTAGGGTATCAGATTATTGTTGCAGGCGAAAAGATGACTACTTCATCTTGTAGTGGTACGCCGCCTTTGTGGAAGATTCCACATATTTTGACCATTTCCAGCTGTATAGTTCTTAAGCCACTACTGATAAGCTTCAGTTAAACTTGCCACGGCCACATCTTCGTAACCAAACCACTCACCGATTCAATCATGCCCCACAAGAAAATATCTCTTCGCCGTGCCAACGAAACCGTGCCAGTCTTTTTTCCTGACACTCAAGCTGAGAAACGAGCTCGGAGACGTGAGGAGAAACGGGTAAGTGCAGCTTGACATTGACCCTGAGTCCTTGGCGTGATCGAACGATTGTAGATCCAGGCACTGCCCCCTCGTAACCCAAATAATCGGGCAAGCATCGGGCAACAGAACGAGCTGCTCAAAGCTTTTCTGCCCAGTTTTCGAGCGGCAGAAAAAGGGGAACAACTGAGGACTTTCTTCGAGAGAGGTTTCGAAGTCTGGTGTTTGCGGTTCCCGGATCCTGAGCCTCACATCCAGGTTCGAGAGGACTGGTTGGACGATCACGACTATCAGGCGTACATTGCCGAGCGACGAAAAAAGGTACAGATTCCGTAGTTCTTGATTCGTGTTATCTGACGCGCATATCAGTGGTTCAAGGATAAGTTGCATTGGTATGCCTTCAAATTCCCGGAGGCAAAGAAGGATGTTCCAGAGCCGTCGACGTCAGCTTGGAAGGAGGAGATGAATGTCGTGATCCAAGAAATGATGGAGAGCCTTTCGATGTCACCCACCTCTTCGGCAAATTGTGAGGCGCTCCGAGTGATCTACGAGGCACTGTCCATTCCTTGGAAAAGTGTCTAGAATGTGGGCTGGTGTGCTTGTACATAAAGTTCAACTACGTATTGTAACATCCATTTGATTTTCTTGGAACATGTGAGCGCTTGTTGACGCTGAGCCCTTGAGCACTTGATCAGTGATCGTGGGATCTTGTCCTAGATCTCTGTAAATGACCAAAGGCAAACGCAAGGCTAAGTATACCGTTGTTCTTGATTCTGGCGACGAGGCCGACACCTCCATCCCTCAAGCACGAACCGTTCGAATTTCTGAAAACGGCCTCCGAATTCTCCAGACACCTCGCTCTCCACAAAAGCGCTCGACTACGTATGAGGTTTCCCCAGATTTTGGAGAGTGGGGTCCAAGTGTCGACTACGCCAGTCTTGGCTGTAGCAGTCAAAATCTGGGCGAGAGGGAAGATACAAGCGATCTCACGGAGACTGTGGCAGCAAAAGTAGCTGCTAAGCGTTATCCAACGTCGGTAAGTTTTGCACTTCACTGTCCTCCATTCATGTTCACTGATGCGCCCACTTTAGGATGCTCCGCTACGTGAATGGGCCGGGAAGGATAAGCAGGACCCAGGTTTCCGTGAGGAGTATTTGTTGGAGTTTCTGAGGCTGGAGGGTCGGGGCGATCGTCATTTCAGTCACAACTGCACCACCTGTGCATCGAAGGGGCGTATCGGCGAGCCGGGCTTGTATCGTTGCGAGGATTGCTTGGCCAGGTCATTATACTGCTCGGCCTGTTGTCTGGAGAGACACAAACACCTCCCCTTCCACATCATTCAGGTATGCCACCTCTTTCTCTGGTAAAACTTCGATATACTAATTGTTCTCTAGAAATGGAACGGTACATTTTTTGTCAAGATATCTCTCAAGACCCTGGGTTTAAGAATACAGCTCGGCCACTTTGATTCGCCGTGCGTTGCTCCTCAACCCGGCCACAAAGATTTCATAGTAATTCATACAAATGGATTACACTACGTGGCTGTCGATTTCTGCGGATGCGAACACCGGACGATTTCCAATCGTCAACAACTCCTTCGAGCCAAATGGTTTCCTGCCACCGTTCACCAACCTCAGACTTGCGCGACTCTTCGCGTACTTGAACAGTTCCACGCTCTCACCTTGACAGGAAAACTTTCCACCCATGAGTTTTATAAAGCTCTGGAGTGTCTGACTGACAACACCGAACTCGAGATACCTAAGGTAACGTCCATCCATATTGGATCTCCATGACGACTGACTTACTTCCTTCATGTAGACCCGCTACAAATCATTCATGCGAATGGTTCGCATGTTCCGCCACCTCAAGCTCATGAAGCATGGGGGCCGCGGCAACTTACCAGGAGGGCTGATGAATACGCAGCTGGGTGACCTTGTCCCTGGTTGCGCCGCATGTCCCCGCCCCGGTGTGAATCTACTGGACAACTGGCAAACTGTCGCGGCAGAGTGGAAGTAAGTGGGTGTTGAATGGTTTGAGATATGAAAACTAATTCATTTCTAGGTTTTTGTACATGTTGATCATAGCGATGGATGCCAATTTCCGCCTGAAAAATCTCATGCGCTCGTCAGTCTCAAAAGATCCGGGTTTACACACAGGTTTTGCGTTCTTCCCCGAAGACGGGCCGTACCGCAAGCACATATTAAAATATGCTTCTCAGAAGGACGTACGTAATTTACTGTTGTTGTCTGCTAAAAATCCTGACCCTTCCCTCTTCAGATAAGCAATTGCAGCGGCTTCAAAACGCTGGCTCATGCCGAAACAAAGTTTTCGACGGGAATGCGCTCCACTGGGGTTGGGATGGTTCTTTGTGCTCGCCACGAAGTTGTCCAAGCAGGAGGCGTTGGAGATTTGCAGAAAGGTGAACGGTACGTTATTCTCTTGCGTATTGATTATAGAAACTTACTCGTTACTGCAGATATTGCAACATGGATTATGAGTGGTACCTACCACTTTTATGATAAAACCTGGGCATTTGCCTGCACAGTCTTTTCAATCCCCCCAAGTGAAATATGAAATGAAATGCCTAGGCTATTTCATTCTTGCTTTGCAGCTATTTCATTCCTACCCACCACATTTTTCATTTCTCCTTGGCAATGAAATGCATTTCATTCTTTTGCCTGTGCTTTTTCATAACTTTTTCATTCTTTGCCAACTTTATTTCTTTTCTTTTCATTCTTTGCCAGTATCATTTCATTCTTTTGCCTGCGCTTTTTCATAATTTTTTTTTCATTCTTTGCCAGTCCTATTTTATTCCATTGCCTGCACCTTTTCATAACTTATTATTTCATTGTTTGCCATGTTTAAGGTTAGGGTTGCACTTAAAAAAAATGAAACTCATTTCATTGCTTCTCTAAGCCTTTTCATAACTAGACACATTATTTGTTTGTAAATAATAAACATATGTATTCTCAAATTATTAGCTATAGTTTGACCTAATCAACCCCTGGCTTGTGATCTTTACATTTGTTTGTATTTGAGGCCATAATCTAACTTAATTGAGCAATAAACATGTAAATTGAGGCAACTAAAAGATCACATGTCTTATATTTTGATCCCATCATAACCAAACAAATACATAAGTTATGAAAAAGCACAGGCAAATGAATGAAATAAGACTGACAAAGAATGAAAAAAATTATGAAAAAGCGCAGGCAAAAGAATGAAATGATACTGGCAA